TCAGCAGGGAAATTCTTAGGCAATCCAAAATCATTTATCGACAAACACATCAAACCTGATGTGAGACATTAATTTCCAAAGTGGAGAATGTTTATTCTGTGTCTTTCTCCCCAGACAAAGCCCTACTGTCTAATACTCTATGACAAATAACGCAGCTGTTCTTCTCTTATTGAGACATGCGTGAGACAGGAAGAGAGAAGCAGTTGCTTCTATGCCATACGTAATCCCTATCCTGATTGGCTCAGAGGACTGCTATCTTTTTTGTGTGTCATAAATCAGATGACATGGGAAACTCATTTTAAAAATAAGTCCCTGCACTATAATAAATAGATTCATTTGTCTCAGGAGGCCAAATGTTGGTTTCAATAAAAAAAAAACTATCACCATTTATATATGCTATTAAGAGCTATGGCATCTGAATGATTGCTGAGAACCTTAGAATTCCAGAAAACTCAGAGATTTCTGAGTAATACATGAATAAGAGGTGAAAAACCTACCAGCTCCTTGCTTGATGTTCTTTAAAATAAAAAGCATAGAAGATTCACATTCTCTAGTTCCCTTTTCCTGGATGATTCTTATAAGTCTAGTAAGATCCATGGACTGAGAAACCATGAGGACCAAATCATTTGTCATTGTTCTTTCTGCAGGGGACCTTGATAAACCCTGGGTTCCACTCAGTGTTCTAACAGCTTTTTCACTGTAAAAGAACTTTGTAGCCATGGCTTCTGACTTTTCTGGGACAGGGAAGGTGACAATAAATTACCTTCCAACTCATGTAACAAGTTTCTATTAAATCTGCCCTATTATGTTGCCATATGAACAACTATTTTGTGCCCGTTTACTTGGGTCCCTGTGTTGGTTTGCTGGCCATTGGTGAATTCTATAGGACTGGGATTCAGGCTAGTCTTCTAACTTAATTTAGAGATTTGTGAACTTGCCCCAGACCCAGATCCTTGACCCATAACCTCCTGCTAGATCTTTTAATGTCAAGTGCCTTAGAACTTCCCTCTGTGGTCTAATACTTTGCTTTTTTTTTTTTGTTTTTTGTTTTTTGTTTTTCTGACTTTCTCTTCCAACCAAATAGGGTTTCCTGATCTCTGAGTCAGGCTTTCTCTGTCTGGCCTACTCTATCATCTGCCTATGTTCAGTTTCATTGGTGAAGATGTTAGGACACAAATGCTTCCTTTGTTTTAATGGTTCTTCCTAAACATTCTTTTTGCTTTATGTATCATCTTGCTCCTTCCAATATTTATTTGTTCATTCAGAAACATTTATGGTTTCTATATTGTGCCAGGCACTGAAACTGGTAGAAAGAAAAAAAAAACATGGTTCTTTCTCTGTACAATATCACAATCTAAAGCAATGCTATATATAATCATATTTTACATTTATATAAGACTTTAAAGCTCACAAAGAGCTTTCCCATATATTTCTTAACCATTATGCTTTCAGCTATAGATTAGTTAACTTTCCACATTCAAGACACAGCTACTCCAAAGAAGTCAGGAAAACTGACTTTCCCATGATGTAATTCAGATTCCTACTGGAGAGAAACCTTATAAAAGTAATGGATGTGGGAAAGCCTTCCATCAGAATCATAGCCTTTTTCAACACGCAAGAATTCATAGAGGAGAGAATTCTATAAATGTTCCCTTGCCTGAGCAAACTAGCTTCTTGAACCATATTAGCTGTGAAATTTCTACTTAAGGAAACCTTTATTCAGGACAATTTGGGGCTTTAATACTGAATTCATCTCTTTCAAATTGAGAGAATGTGAAATTTATACTTTTGAAATATAAGTTATGTAAGTAGCTTAGTGTGATCAGCCTGCACAAAGTTTGTAGGATCACATAATTTTATTATGATTTTTCTTCTCTTGGTGAAAGCTGATGCTTGGTAAACACTATGATCAATGACATGTAGCTTCATTTGTGACATGAAAACAAGTGCAAAAATCCTGTTTCTATGAACTTAGTAAATTGAATTCAGTAGGACATTTTAAAAAAATCAAAGTTAATTCTTGCAAAGATGCTTCAATGGTAGCAATTTATCGGGGATAATCCAGTAAATTAAACAAGGTATAGCAGGTGATTATATAAAGGAAGCTGAAAAAAGTGATCAAATATAAAATTCATTCCTACAAAAAAGGCGGGGGAAAGCCTCTTAGGAACTAGAAAAATAAGGAAATTCCCTTAACTTGAAATAGGCTATTAGCAACTGTCTTAAGCCTCTATCATATTTAATGGGGAAATTTTAGACCCAATTTTGTTTAAAACAGCAATGCCAAATTTCATGCTATTGGGCTGGGAATGTGGCTCAAGCGGTAGCGCACTCGCCTGGCATGCGTGCGGCCCCAGTTCGATCCTCAGCACCACATACAAAGATGTTGTGTCTGCCGAAAACTAAAAAAAAAAAAATATTAAAAAAACTCTCTCTCTCTCTCTCTCTCTCTCTCTCTCTCTCTCTCTCTCTCTCTCTCTCTCTCAAAATAAAAATAAAACATCTTAACTTAAAAAAAATTCATGCTATTTTAAAACATTGTCCTGATGGCCCTTGCCAACAAAATGTGGCAAAAGAAATGAAGTATGGCTACTGGAGAGGAAAAGACAGAGAAGGCAGGTTGATATGATTGTCTACCTTGACAATATAATATAATCAACTCCCATTCTATTACAAGTTAAAAGAGTTTATCAAAGAACTTGAGCCTAAACTCAACATATAAAAAACAAAACAATCACTTTCCCATCCACCATCAATAATCACTACATATGAGTTGATTATAGAAAGTGGACTGATAAGGATTTTCAAGCCATGTGGCAGAAAATTACTTTGTGCTTCAATTATTTCATAAATATGCTTTATTTTTATTACATTTCCTGGGAAGAGTAATAAAAAGAGTGGATCTTATTTATCTTTGAAGCATCTCTGGAAATTAAAGATCAAGATATTGAGGACTAATGAATAAAATGAGCTATAGAAGGCTAAAATTTGCCAACATTTTTATTGCGTTCTGGTTAAATATTTTGAAAAGATAAATATTAAAGGCTAAAAGGAAAAAAAGAAAGGCTAATTATTTTATTCCAGTAAAGGCCATAGATTGCTTTGGCATAATCATCCACAATTTGCTTTCTTATTTTACTAAAACATATATCATTCTAATGTTTAGACTGAACACCAGTTTTTGTGACTGCAGGAGTGCATAAAATTCTGTTTAGTTATTAGATGTGTCAATTAATGCTTTACACAGTGCATATGGTTGGAACATATTTGTTGATTGATTGGAACAATGTCTTTAGGTTAATGTATAGAACGAAGACACAAAGATTATTTAACTGGCAATATGATTATGAAAGGAATGGAGTTTGACACCCCTCCCCATATCCATGAGATGCATTGCAGTAACTCTGCATCCTAAAGCGTCCCCTCAGTTGCTTATGTGGATGGCTTCACACGGTGATAGCTTGGTTGAAAACTTCTAAAGTTCTATTTCACATTTACCTCATTTGTTCCATACAGGTATTTTTCAGATACTCTGAAATACAGATGTCTTAAATACTTAACTACTAAATTGAACATGAACAAATACTGAAATACACTTAGCAACAGGATGGCTTTAAAAATTTCAAGAGTGCTTCTCGGGATTAAATGGAAAGTAATCCTGTAACCCACATGCTGTGAATCTTCTAGTTTGTTTTCTTGAGATCATACACACAGGGAGTATTTGTTTTCAAATATCTTTCTCCATTCTTGCCTTCAAGCTATCCAATAGCTTGGGTTATTTCCTCAGCAATTTATCAGCTCCTCAGAACCCTAGCAAACCCCTCCCCAGTTCTCATCTTAAAGTGATAGAAAAAGCTAATTTTTACCACATGTATTTTCTGCCTTAATCACTGGATAGCTTGTTTTTCAGCAAACAGACTCGAGGTTTTGCAGCCCTTTTGTTATAAAGAATCCTGTGGGACACATTTGCAGTACAGGGCATAGCTCTGCCAACTCAGGCTTCTAGGAATCTTATTGCTTTCCTTTCAATCCTCTACTACAAAGTATTTTCCAACATAGTGCATATGTACAAGGGACCACTCTTGCAATTTCCACTTAAATTTTCAACAAACATTTAAAATAAGAAATCCCAAAACAGAGTTCTTGATTTACATCCTCACCAATATCCTAGCAGTCATCCTTGATTCCTCTCTGTCTTTTAAGCCATATTCAGTCACCAGGAAATCTTGTCCCCCAAATGTACATATGACCTGTCCTCTTCTCACCAACTCTACTACTGGGCCAGCCTCTGCTGTAACCTAGGCCCTATTCCTACTGGCCTCATGTCCATAGTCTTTCAAAAATGTAAATTTGGTATGCTGCATTCTCTACTCAAAACCCTCTTATGGCTTTCCATCCAACACAGAACAAAATTCAAAGCCTCATTTTGGAAACCTAGCCTTTATTTTGTCTCTTTTTCCTGGATTCCTTCTTCTCTGCTTTCTCCTTATTTATTCTGTTTCAATGCCACTCTTTGCCTAGATTCCAACTGAGGGAATACAATGACATACTTTTGTGTCCCTGGGTCTCTGTTTTTGCTATTCCTTGTCTGTAGTTCTCTTCTTCCAAAAATCCGCATGGCACATTTCCTTATTCAAATATCACTTCTTCTAAGAGAATTCTATTGGGCTCCCTATCTAAAATGGAACAACCTATTATTTTTATCTTATTTTTCCTACCCTTATATCTAGACTTTATCTATTAGTCTTTCTTCCTCCTCACTAGACTGGAAGCCTTCTGAAACTAGAGATCTCATCTATCGTATTCACCAAAATATCCCCAGTACTTAGGACTTGAAACTTGGCAGCATTCAATAATGCTAGTTAAAAATGAATGAGTCACACACTCTTAAAATGAGTAAGTTTATGTTATATAAATCCTACGTAAATAAAGCTTTTTTAAAAAAATTCAGAACCCTACTTTTAAAAATTGTGGGGAAAATGCATTAATTTAGTGGACGAATGAATTATAACATTACTAGGTTATACTCCAGAAAACAAAATTTACAACTAGCCTTCGTTTTGATGTGCAGAAAACAATGCTTCTGGTTGTGTTTTACTCAGATTTTTTCGCTGCTGTAACTAAAAAAACTGACCAAACAATTGTAAAGGAGGAAAAGTTTATTTGGGAGCTCATGATTTCAGAGGTCTCCATCCATAGACATCTGGCTCTATTCCTCAGGGCTCAAGGTGAGGCAGAACATCATGGAAGAAGAGTGTGGCAGAGGGAAGCAGCTCACATGATGATCAGAGGTAGTAAGAGAAAGACTCCGCTCATCAAATACAGAATACACACACACAAAAAGCATACTCCCAATGACCCACCTTCTCCAGCCACGCCCTACCTGCCTCCAGCCACCATCCAGTTAATCCCATCACAGGATTAATAGATGGATTGGATTAAGACTCTTAGGATTTGATCACCTTCTTGCATTGTCTCACACATGACCTTGTGGAGGACACCTCACATCCAAACTTGTTATAACAAGTTGCAATGTCTAAAATCATCCCTGGATGACTGCCCATTGAATTTCAGTGGTTTGTTGGGAAGTTTGAGATGTATATTTAATAAAAGTCACATATTTTACTTTTTCCTCTGTGTTAGAGACTGTGCCAATTTGTAGGTAGTTGTTCTGTTCACCTGTTCTGAGGAAGGTGCCATTACAATCTCATAATGAAACACATGTGGTTTTGAGAGTTTGTTTCTAGGCCAAAGTCACAGTTGTCAACTTGTAGCTCTTAAATTTGCACCCAGGAGGATCCCAGCACTAATCCTTGTCATTACCTGGCAAAAAAAGAAAAAAAAATGAAGTTGATGACAAACTGCCATATTTTTGTAAGTGCTCAAGAATCCCATGATGTTTTTTTTAACTCATCTTCTCTCCTCTTGCATCCTTCAGTCCTTGTACTCAAAGGAGTGTGACATTATGCCAATCAAGGTCCCAAATCACCCTTTTCCAGCTGTGCTATCTTCACAGTGACATGCTGCTTTCTCTTATTCGGATGGGATCCCAGTACTTCTTTGATCAATTCTTTCTTCATCTCTGCTAGAGTATATACTTTAATTTGAAAGTCTGTAAATACAACGTGTTTTACAAGGTTATCCCAAGTAATCCAAGATTTTCATCTCTTTTCTACATTGGCTGATCCATTTTATTATGGATAGCATCAATTCTTTTGGCCAGTCTGGCTTGTGCTCAGGTATCTTTCTAGAAGAAATTCAGAGAAGTAGAAAAATATTCTAATACAACTGCTATGAACTATAAACCAAAATGACCTTCTCTTTACTTCATAAGTGGCCTGTGCCAAGTATTTTATTATAATGATGTTGTTTTAGTCAAGTATTTCATCGCTGTGACCAAAAGACCTGACACGAACAATTAGAGGAGGAAAAGTTTATTTGACACTCACAATTTCAAAGGTTTCAGTCCATAAGTGACCAACTCTTTTGCCCTGGGCCTGAGGTGAGGCAGAACATAATGGCAGAAGAGGGTGGTGAAGGACAGCAGGCCAGGACATGACAACCAAGAAGCAGAGAGAAAGACTCCCCTCACCACAAAGCGTGTGTGTGTGTGTGTGTGTGTGTGTGTATGTATCCATCCCCCAAAGGCATGCCTCCAGTGGCCCAACTTCTCCAGCCACACCTACCTGCCTATAGCTAACACCCAATTAATCCATTTCAGAGGATTAATGTGCTGATAAGGTTAAACTTAATATAACCAATTATTTCATATCTAATCTATCTTGCATTGTCTCACACATGACATATTTTGGGGGGGACACCTCATATCTAAAAAATAACAGATGTGAATGTGACTAATGTAACAACTTGATGCATTTCCTGTCTACACCACTCAGAATCAATATCATCCCCTACTCCTTTCATCATGAGTAATTCTCAATTCCCCAAACTCCTTCTCAAAATTCATCCACCATGCCTTCTTTGCCACTACCTCATACCATGTGCCTTGGCTTTCTTATCATACCCCTACCTTTTCTTATCTACTCTACTTTTGTTGGCATTTGCTTTTTAGTTTGACCCCTTTATTTTCAGTTTCTTTTATCTGGCATCCACTCACTTCCCCTGTGCCCGTAGTTATATGTTCTTAGACATCACTCTATTCTGTACTGAGTCAAAATCATCTTGCAACCCTGGAGTACCCCTCATGATACCTTGTATTTATAGCATTTTATGGATAAGAAAGGTATTCCTTTATTTACTTTAACACAGTTTTCTGAACATTACTATGAATAGATAGATGTTGCCATCTCAACTTGAGAGGAAAAAAAAATGTTGCTTCCCCCAGGGCACAGAAGATATTCTTTATCACAATTCCTTTACTTTATGGTTGCAGAAATTGAAGTCTGAAGAGATAAAAATGACTCTTCTGAAGCTCTCTAATTAGTGGCAGAGTTAAGAATAAAATATGAATTTCCAGATTCCTTGCCCAGTGCTCTCTTCTGTAAACTGTGCTATTCTATTGAGCCTGTGTAATCTCCCTAATCCTACACTAAATAATCATTAGGAAGAAATTTAGAGAAAAGCCTTTTCCTTCCTCTACTCATGCTGTTTCTTCTTCAACCTTTAATAATGAAAAGGGTGTTTTTCTAGGCTATGCCAAAAAGGAGCAGCCATTGGAGTCTACCAAGACAGCTGTCCAACAGGATTAGACAGCCTCGCCTTGGATAATGAGGCTGTCTCCTGCCATACCTCACCCCCTTAACTTCTTCCAGAATGTGTGTCTGCTGAGAACACCTGCCACCTCACCCTTCCTCCATCAGCCACTGCTCACTGCAGTTCTAAATAAGTCAGTGTTGGGTAGCTGGAGAAGTCGCCACAACTTTTTGCCTACTAAGTCATAAAGCAACAGCTGGGTGTGAAAATATAACTCCTGTCACTTTTCCAAGCAGCGTGAAACCTGGCCTGAAGGGGCCTGAGTAAGTTCTGCGGCATGTTGTAATTCGCAGCTGCTGCTTGAAGTGACATTTTTCCTCCCTGAGGTTTTGGGTGGCAGAGAGTTGCAATCATTTTCCAGTGTTGGTTTTCTTCTTGAGATCTCTTTGTCCATGCACTAGTGGGCATTTGCTCCCTCTAGTCTTAAATGTTTACATGTGGCTGGGTGTGAAGTTCTCTGACTTTGGGGGAATATCCTAAAGCCACTTTTTTTTGTTACGCCTAGAAGGAAAGCTGACATTTATCCAGCAGAAGGCAAAGCAAGAACCAAGCCTCAGGGTTGACATTCTTTTTTTTTTTTTTTTTTTGCTGGAGACATCAACTTGCTAAATTGGATTCTGTACTGAGTCAAAATCATCTTTCAACATTGGAGTACCCCTTTTCTCCTTTTAGTGATACAATACAAAAATCTGGATTTCTCATGTAGAGAAACAGCATTAAACAAATGGGATACCTGTTTTAATTTAGTTTCCTAGTGTCTGCTGTCCTTTACCACCTCTGATTTTCTCACTTACAAAGAATAATTATGGATTAAAATGGTTTATGTAGTTCCTTAATGTGAAGTGGAATTGAATAGTTAGTAGCAAAGAAAAAAAAGGGAAGAAAAAAATTCAATGCTGCCTATGTTCATTTTTATCCTAAGAATCTGATGAACAGAAACAGGAATGAATATGTTTTAAGTAAACAGCCCATGTTCAGAAGGGACCTTGATTCAGGGAATGAAATAGAGCCTTGGTCCAACTGAGTGCTATAATCAGCAAAGCTGCCACCATCTGTCAGGGTTGGTCTTCTCTCCCTCGGGCTCTGGCTCCCGGGGCCCAGCTGACAGACTGGCATCATTAACAGGCTCATGGATGAGGTCACCCCACTGAGACAGGTCACCTTGTGTCTTTGGGGTGTTTTATTTCCCCCCCCCACTCCTAATTCTGATCCTGAGAAAGGAAAATTGAATTTTAGTCTTAAGATTAAATGATGACAGTATGCAATCTGTCAACTCCTTACTGGTAGCCAAGTAGGCTTGTTAAATTAAAAAAAGAAGGAAGAAATAGAATCCAGAGTCCTCTTCTTCAGCCCTGCGGGATCAGAAGCAAGGGAACCCTTTCTGTGGATAGTTTATTTAAATGTAAATACCTCAAGGATGCTTCCTGCCTTGACAGTACCCTGTGCATTCAAGAGCAGGCAGGCAGATGTTGAGGATTTGGGCTATAGTGCACTGGAAATGAGAGAAACTGGTATTCATGGAGAATAAAAGGAAGAGACTCCACATGCTGGTGAGTTGTGGCAGGGTCCATTTAGGGGACCACTTAAAGCATAAAGGAAATGGAAGTTAGATTTACACATGCTGCTTCCCTCACTCCAATGTTTAAAGATCAGTCTTCTGTTTTAGCACTTCAAACTGTTGCATAGATTTTATTTTACAAGACTTTTACAAATTTCTACCCCCGGCGCCCTGAAATCTAACATACCCAATATTGTGAGCCCTGAATATTTTGCCCTCTGTCTAGAGTCAGCTGTGGGTACTAATCCCTGCTACTGAAAGATGCCCCTGATGTAGGCTTCTCCGCTCATGTGCTGAATTTATCTCTTTCTCTTTTCAACTTGAGTTTCTGAGGGCTTTCTTGTGAGTAGCAGTGACCTAGTTCTAGACCTTACTTAAGGAAAGTTCTGATGAGAATGTTTTACTAGTTAAAACTCAGTGTAATCAACATTGTCTTCTGAGATATTTCATATCTCTTAATAAGGGAATACAAGTTTTGAAGAGAATCTAATTATAAATTCAGCAGCATTTTAATCTGAAAGAAGAGAGATAATTGCGAGGAATCCAAAGATAAAAGATGGAGAGTCAGATAGATTTCATTTCTGTAAAGAATAGGATCAAATTACAATGAGGACTTCACCTTTTCTGCTGATCATTCAAATAATGATGCTCACTCAATTTCCTCTTTCTAGTACTTCTCAACCATAGTGGAGGAAATTATGTAGCAATGCAGAAGTCTGGGCCATAATCACAAAAGACAATTTCAAACGTTCTTCATCCTGAATTTTGAAACCTTTAAAGGACAAAATACCTAAAATCTAGAATCTTTAAAGTTTAAAATTATGAAAGATCAAAATCCCAAAAATATAGTCTAGAAAAATTAATTTAAAAAATACTTAAAGACCTTTATTTACATTTTGAAAATGTTTATTTGAGAAACATAAAAACACAATAGAAAATATAGACCACTATACACAATAAAATAGTCAATAATAACCTACCTGTTTTGACAGCATATAACAGTTATGAGGAGACCAACTATACTTATAAAGAAGAATGTCAAGAAGTGAAATGACAATCCCCAATACCTAAAAAAAAAAAAAAAATCATATAATTGTACATCACCATGGTTGGTACTTGTGTGCACCAGCCTTATAACTGTGATCATCTGAAATACCATGAAAGATAAACCTAAGTCTTTCAACAAGGTCAACCAAACACCATGGTGGATCACCACTGTACAGTCACCTAAGGAGCCAAAACCTTAAGAAATTTTATCTTCCACAAATATAGATGTACAAAAAATCCATCTCTTCACTTACTGAGGAAATTTGAACACTTTAATATTTTTACACAAATAAAACACGCAAAGTCAACCTTGTGATAATGCATCTTCATGGAACCAACTTTGCAGAAATTGCATAAAGCTAATTAGAAGTCTCTAAAAGCCTTTATACAATTTATACCTCAAATATTGGAAATGACAAAATACATAGCATAGTGAATCGTACAAAATAATGCTCACAATTTAAAACAGTGGTGGGGGAGGATTAAAGACAAAAAAGAATAACAGAAGAAAAAGAGCTAAAAAGAAAATTCAATATGTGATCATGTATTTATTGTAGGGATACATTGTGGCCAATTGCATGCAGGTAGTTTATAAGGGCTGGCCAGCTTTTCTGATCATTAACTATGTTTTGAAGTCTTGCATCATGATGAAGAGCTGATGTTTTTTGTTTCGTTTTTCTCTTTCCCTTAAGGCACGGATCTCCTCGGATAATACAAAAACATCCATTTTCTATGTGGTGCTGATCTTTTAGAAATTCTTCTACGATTTGATACGCAGTGACATGAGGTTTCCATAGTCAATTTCCCCATCTTCTGTTATGCTTCTATGTTGTTTTGGGTGTGTGGAAACCCATTCTGCATGCACTCATATATACAGGCCATGAATTGGGTGGAAATAATACTGATGACTGAACAGCAACACAGTTGTGTATCTTCTTACCCTTCCATGCACATAATTATTTCTGAACCATTAGTGGCTTTGCTGGATGTTTCAGGCAAATGAGGCTTTAATTCATTAAAAACTCCTGGAATTTCATCAGCTAGAAGAAATGCCAATGAAGACAAATCACACATTTTTAAACTAATTTTTTTTATATTGCTATATTGTGTGGCCAATCCACTCCTCTGAATTTTCTGCCAAACACATTGGGCTGAGTGGAAAAAACAAACTTTTTAAGAAGAGGGAGCTTCTTCTTGTTTGTTGTGGGTGAGGTGTTACAACACCTTGAAATTCACTTTAGGAAATCTTGATCTTAATTAATTCCAAGTCTGTTGTTATGGTTTGGGGAATTCAATGAAAGTATATTTTCTAATGCAGATTTTCAAATAAGCATAAAGTGCTTTGCTTTTCCTGGTAATTAATATGTAAATGACCAGATAAGTTCCAATATTCCAACATATATATATATATATATATATGTGTGTGTGTGTGTGTGTGTGTGTGTGTGTGCGCATATATATATATATATATATATATATGATTAAAAAAAAAACTAGCAAGGACAGTTTTAAAAGTGCCATTGCTATACTTTGGGTCTTGAATGTTCCCCAAAGACACATGTGTTAAAGGCCTGGTTCCAAGCCTGTGGTGCTATAGAGAATTAGAGGAACCTTTAGTAGGTGGGGCTTAGTGGAAAGAAGTTAGGTAGTGGGGCATGCCTTTGAAAGGGACATGAGGACCCCATACTTTCTGTCTCTCTTTGCTTTCTGGCTCCCATGAGGTGACTATGTCTCTCTACCATGAATTCCTATCCTGATGTAGTGTGCTGCCAAAGGCCCAACCAAGCAACAGACCAAGTGACTCTACTGTGGATTAGAACCTCTGAAACCATGAGCCAAAATAAACCTTTCTTCCTTTTAGGTTTATTATCTCAGAAAACTGACTAACACAGCCATTCCTAGCCAAAGTGAAGCCCTACACCTGTTTTCCATGTTAGATTTAGTGGTAAGTATAAGTAGTCCATCTTTTTGACAATCAAGTCCTTCACCAAGAATAATTCACCATATAATGTGTTTCATAACGTTAACTAGAGGAACATCTCTATCAGTTAATGTAACCTGCTGAACTTTTGAATCTCTGATGAAGTGCAATTTTTTTAAGGCAATCATGCGCAAAAGTAAGACATGATTGAATAATTTGGTATCCTGCTTAGAACTAAAAACGCTATAATCCCTTCCCCAGAATTTTTTTAACCCCTCATATAACCTTTGACATTTCAATGGGAGTTGTGGGTTTGGGGATTTTGGCTTTCAGGATTTCAACATTCAGAATTTTGATCTTTAAGGATCTTATACTTTGGAAATTTTGTTCTTTGGTGATTTCAACATTTGGGTTATGGTCTTTATGATTGTAATATTTTGGAACTAGGAGAAGTATAGACAATACAGATTAAAATATCTTAAAATTCAGTCTTCAAATCTCAGATTTTACAACCTTCTCTACATTCTGGTTCGATTTCTTCTCTATTACTCCCAATAGATGCTTCATAGTTTTAACAATGCACGGACATTTTCTGCTCTGCCTCTACTTCTCTCCATTATAGCAAATAGCCTCACCCCTGACTTGTCTAAGAAACTGGAGGATTTTAGATTTTTCCTCCTTTCAAAGCTCAGCTTAGACATGCAAGTTACTTGGGCCCTGTCCCAGCCTATGGAGGAAGAAGTGATCCTTCTCTCTTTTTCTACTCTTGTTTAACCCTCCTTCCTTCATGACTGGACCTTCATTACTTTGTATTTCTGCTAATCATATCTAGTAAGATGTAGAAATGTTTTTGTAATTTACTATCTTATATTTAACTAGTTATCTTAGAGCTCCTATTTTACTCGAAGTTGTACATGAGATAAGATACAAGCTCCTGTATTGAATAGGTATTTCCTCACGAATGTCCCTAAACACAAACATGTTCAATTGGATCTCTGTATCTGTGAGTTCTGCATCTGCAGACTTAACCAGCTATAGATTTAAAATATTCAGGGGAAAATTGTGACTGTTCTGAACACATACAAGCTTTTTTTTTCTTGTTGTTATCCCTTAAGCAATATAGTGCACCAACTGTTTATATAGTATTTGCATTGTCTTAGGTATTATAAGTAATCTATAGGTGATTTAAAGTATACAAGAAGAATTTGCACATATCATGTGCAATAGTATATGACCATGTATATATAAGGGACTTAAGCATCCTTTGAGCTTGGTATCTAGTGGGGGAGAGGATTAGGTTTCTGAAACCAATCCATTTTGGTTACTAAAGGATTACTGTAGTGTGTTCCAAACTGTAAATATTACTTTTCCCTACTCTTTTATGATTCTGTCTTTGTTAACGAAACAAATCCCCCTCTCCAGATCCTTGAGTCCATCTAGATTTCTTTTTCTTCCAGCTCCTCCAATCCTCCTGATACCAACTCCTCCTACCTCCTCCATGGAAGTAGTTTCCCATGTCAGAGTTCTCCCCATTCCTAAAGCTCCTCCTGTAGCTTGGGAGGTGAGTGTATTACCTCCCTCTTACTATTGTGATGATTTCCCAGTGGCTGCCCTGGCTATGGGTCTTTCATTGCTCTATTTACCCTCTACTCTGCTTCTAGAAGAGTTTTCTAAAATACAAATAGGATCATGTCCTTGTTAATTATCCCCAGAAATCTTGTAGGTTAGTCATAGGTAGCTTAAGTAACCCAACTCTGATGTTAGAGTCAGAGACTGACTTCACGTCCAGAAGATGTGGATCAAGAGTCTGTGTTCTGAGCCACTTCATTAGCCAAGTTTTCCAGAGAATAAAAAGGTAATTCCACCTAGCTCTGCTCACTGCCTATTCTCTCTGCCAAGGACCCCCTCAAAGCTCTGTTGGGGTGTTTTGCCTCTACTCAATTTTGCTTACCAGTCAGTTAGAATAAGACAATTTCAAAAATAACACATCCAATCCACCAGTTTTATTGACCTCTTTCCTGCCCCAGTCTCTCTCCATAAACACCCAGGAACACTCACTTCAGAATCAGTGTGGTAATTTTTTAAAAAAAAAAAACTCCTTAATTTGTCAAACCTAAGAGACTCAATGCTACTTTTGAAGGAAAAAGTGTTGAAAACATAAGCACTTTAATAAGATCAATATCTGACTCATTTTTTCTATTGCAGGTATCACAGATCATTTATTAATCTTTTTTAAAACATACAATAAGAAAAAATTCATTTGTCTATCTCATATTGAGGATCAGAGAGATTAAGTGAGTTGCCCAGGGTCGCACAGATTGTGAGTGAGATGACTGGGATTTGTCCAGGCAGACCAGCACCTGTGTCTACCTTTTAAACTATGATATGCCACTGTTTTTTCATTATTTATGTAGAACTGTCTTAGAATTTAGCATTGCATACATTTTCAAGATGACTAAATTTATAATAATTTAACCCTTTCTGCTGGAACTATTTCTTTTTAAAAATGTTTTTATTAGTGCATTAGAGTTATACATTATATTAGGATTCATTTTGACATTGTCATACATGCACGAAATATAATTTGCTCCATTTCATTCCCCCTACTTCCTCTCTTTCTCCCTGCCTTTGTTCCCCTTCCTTCTTCTATTTATTTATTATTTTTTTGATCAGTGCTTTGTGATATACATAATGATGAAATTCACTGTGGCATATTCATATACATAAATAATATAATTTGGTCAATTTCATTCCATAGTTCCTCCTTTTCCTGTACCTCTTCCCTCCTCCTTGAACCTCCCGCCTTATTCTAGTGATGTCCCTTCTATTTTCATAGTGTCTCCCTGCTTTTCTTCTATTGGAACTATTTTTAAAAATACATCACTTGTCTTCCTAACACAGATCCCATACTACCTGATATCAGAGAGTTAATTAATCTTGTGTTTTGCTTATGTATTTTTAGTTTATCCTACCCACAGTAACTCTACATTGATAAAGTGGTGACGATTTATTTTTTCCTGTGTTTTAGGTTTAGCCACTTCTTTTGTCATTGCCGGCTTCTTGCTGGTTTCCATTGCCTGACTTGGACTACATCTTCTCTCTTAGCAATCAACTACTTCCAGTTTCTATCTGAGGTCCAAATAGAAGTCAAGAGATTTGGAGGAGTGCTCTAGGGTTGTCTCTGTGCACAGGAGAGTGCACGACTTGTGCCATTTATTTCAGTTGCTCAAACATCGTTTAGCATCTTTGCTCATTTTCCTGGCTTGACTGCTCATCCTGGAGCTCACTTCTGGATAGGTGACCATCATATCACTTGTCGAACACAGTGTCTTAATAAGACAGATAGGGACTTACCACTGGCTCTTCTCTCTGTTCTATCACATTACTAAAATGCATGCCATTTTTGGCCCCAAAATAAATAAATCAATAAATGGTTCTTCATCTCCTACAAAAATGTAATTTATGATATCATTTAAATGTCCATTCCCATCATCTGGGAATTGGGCACATACTGTTTTCCTTTAGCTTAATGTAGAATTTCTCCCCTCTGGTGAATATTCTTGACTGTGCCTGATATAAGAAGGCTCAGGGTAAGATGTGGGTTGTTTCTTAGCAAGTATTTTGTTCCCCAGTGACTTGTGAAGGTGGTGACTAATGCCTTTCCCTATCCTGACACCTAAACCCTTATCTGTGTAACCACTGGATTGTTTTCTTTTTGTCTTCTTTATGGCTAAAATTATCCCAAGCACATTTAGATGGAGGGAGTTTTTGTTCCTGGCTTGTCCTAATGGAAACAGAGGAGTCCTCCGTCTGGGCAGAGTGAGGGCCAAATTGAGCAGGAAGCTCAGCTGCTATTTCAGAACCAGCCAAATTTGGGAGATGGTGGCTGGATGGGAACCAAGGTGCTTGTTTTTAATTGTCATGTCTTTCATGTGGTCTTTGGTATTGGTTGCCTCTGTGACATCCCAAAGGGATATCATCCTCATCAGGGAGAAGTCCCAACCACATACTGCTAGGGAAATTCCACAGGGACACAGTTTCCATGGCTTAGATTTTTTTTCCCCATATGAGCACTTGACAAACCTGAGCCAGGTTGCTCATAGTTCAGGGCGGGAGACTGTTGAGTGATGGAAAGTGACATGGTTCTTGGGTTGTAAATACAAAACTCAAAAATGATCATTTATCGATCTCAGGCCTGGTGACGATTTGATCCTGCTATCCATAGAACTAAAGAGCTCTCAAGTAGTCTTAGCATATCAAATAATATGTATCCCTTTTAATTTTGAGGTTAGTGAACTTTCAGTTTGAGGCTTCATCAGAGTTTATCAATGACCAAATATTACATAGAACTTAAAAAAGAATTCACGTTTCAGTTTTTCAAAACTACCTAGTATGTATCCTTTAATACCTAAATTTCTCCCATAATGTATAAATAAGTTATCAGATTCATTTTCTAACCAAATATGACAAATTTACTTTCAACCCCATCACCATAATCTTGAAAATCATATAATTCAGAACATGATTTTTATAGTTTCCTAGTAGATAAATTATTAATATTCAAGATAAACTGGGTTACCAGGAAACTTTCTGACCATGACTTTTTAAAGCAACAACAAATGTAAACTGGGCTTTCCAGAAATGGCATTGTCATCCAACCTATTACCCATTAACTGTCCCTGGTTTTATGTGTGATAGAACACAGCCATGAAATCTGGACTCTATTTTTGAGGTAGTTATCCAAACACCAGTAATTTCTAAGAATAGCAGTGACCATATATTAATGGCCAATTAAGGCATTCATCTCTGCTCACTGCCTGCTTAAAACCTATTCCTCAGTCATCCTGGAGAGATGGGTGGTGTTTGAACAACAGGAACTAAAGGTACTTCTGGGTTTAAAAATATATATATTTATTTATGTTTTATAGCAGTTAATATTGAATAACAAATTTCTTTTCCTCACAAGGCTCTAAAATATGTATCTGCCAAATTTCTTCTTTTGTGGTAATATCTGTAAAAGGAATATGTTTGGTTTATTTCTCAGAGTGTGGTGATTTTATATGAGCACTTGGATGAAGAAAGTCTCATTGTCTAGTTAATAAAGGATAAATGTTTGTTTAAAATATTGCTTTACAATCTGTCCGTCTATACTTTCTCTTCTTCCTGTCTTTGAGAGTTCTTCTTCTTATTCTTTTACTAACACTCATTCATTTCTCACTTTTCCTCTAGTTCCAAAGGAGATTTGTCTCATCCTCAGATATTTTATTCTGCTGCCCTTGTTGATTGGCTCATCATCTAAGGTAACCATCATCATGCCTGGTTTGTGCATCCCTCTGTGGCAGAGAGAGAAGCTACATAGTCAGTAAATTACACCTAATTCTTAGTAGAGGGTGAGGAGAAGCAAGAATTTCTCCATATTGAGATTTCATGGGCTGCACTGGATCATGGTCCTTCCTGAAAGAGAGGCGAAGGAGATGAAGGAAGAAAGAAGAAGTGAAGGATCCAAGAGAGTAACCATGGCCACCATATATGGAGGGCTTAATTTGACATCAGGACTTTCTTAATTTGACATCTTTCTTTCTTAGCTCATGAATTCCCACAGCCATGGAGTCTAAACAACTTGTCCAGTTGGCATGTTGTAGACCCAGAAGTCATAACCATCACTGGAGCCATCTTCTACTTTTCATGGTGCCCAGAGATAAAAGAACGAATGGAGCCCCTGGAACACCCTCACTTGCTCTTTCCTTACCATGGTCTCAGTGATGGAGGTGGAGTCAGCCACGCCCCGTATCCCTGGGGATGAAACCAGGATGCAGAGGTCACTGAAGACATCAGGTTCCCAACTGCTCCTTTCTCTGGGGCAGCAAAGCACTGTCCTTCCAGGCAGGCCAGCAACCCCATTCCTGGAAGGCATAAACACTCATCTGTGAAGATGGCTTCATCACTCACTGCCAACCAGACATGTTTGATAAGCACTTTTGGGAAAAAAGCCATTGTTAATCAGAGTGAATCTGGCTATAATTTTGATGCTTGTGTGTGAGATGGCTGATAATGGTAATAATTACAATAAAAGCAAAAATAGCCACCATTCATGGACTACAGACCACAATCCAGGAACTCAAATGTCATTCTAATGACTCTTAACAAGACGGGGAGGGAGATATTGGATCTCCATTTTACAGAAGGAAAAATCAAGTGTCCGAGGAGTTAAGGAAATGCCCAAAGTCAAACTGCAAGGGAGTAGCTGAGCCATCATTGAAAGCCCCATCTGTGTGCACCCAGACCACCCGCCCTTCATTGGGTCCCAGCTGCTCCTTCCCTCTGCCTGCCAGGTTGGAGCGTAGCCTGGCAAATCTGCCTTGCGTGCCCACTGCCTGAAAGCAATCAAGCTCCCGAAGTCCATGATTACATTGAATAGTTGCAAATCCTCTGTTTGATTCCCATGCTGTATTTGATTGCAAACTATCTTGCCCTCATTGTTGAATATTAATAAACTTTCAGTGGCCACCCATTATCCAGAAAATAGACACCCAAATGGTTTCATTGGAAATTTAAAGGCCTCCACAATCTGACTTCAGCCAGTTTTCCAGGCTCATCCCTCACTACCCTTTAACTAAACCTCTGCTTGAACAGAACAGCTCACTCTCATCATGATACATACCAGGTGCCCAACTTTTGCTCAGTTCATTCCACCTGTCTTAAAATCTGCTACTTACTTTCCTATTGAATCCAATAGGAAATCTTAGATTTCCCTTCCAAAATCATCTGGAAAATCCAGATGGAAGTATTTGCTTTCACCCTCTACTTTTACAGTAATAGAATCATTTGCCCATTAATTTATAGGACTGAAAACAAGTCTTCTGAGGCTCAATGCACAACTCAAATCATAGCATGTTATTTAACTTTTGTAAATTTGATCCCATTTAGAGAGGAATCTCCTCTACCCCTTTATATCATCTGTGCCGTACAAAATAGGTTCCCTGGAATAATGCAGTCACTGAGGACCTTTAGCCAACTTTCCTTACCAACACTGTCTTGTGGCAAAGCCATTAAAGTCAAGTTCTGTAATAATGCAAAGTTATTAGCTGAGATGAACTCCTGCTGCCCCTTTGACCAGGTTGAAGCCCACAGTTATTTTGTTTCATTGATTTGGTACTAACTTCTAGCTATTTGAAAGGATAAAAATGGAAAGAAAGATAAAGAGACGTGATGTCACCCTGAAGAATGAAATTTGACTAGGAAAGAAAAGATCCTTTTGTTCATTTCATGAATTTACATCACATCATTTTCATATTGGTCTATTTTTCTTTCTGTATGCAACTAAAAGGGAGGGGATCAAATTTTGGACTAAAGGAATTCCTCTTAATTTCAGTAATTCTAATGAATTTCTTCCCTGGAAAAATATCCTGCATTCAAGAGCAGAAAGGGGCAACTGGAGCCCATGAGGATGAGTGTACACAGGCCAGCTTAATACGTCCTGGAGAGTTGTTTCCTCATCTGCTTGTGAATCAGAGGTGGAAAGAGTGGTTCCAGTGCTGGATGGTGCTCATCTTATTTGCCTGGGCCTGTCTTTAATGGTGACTGTGTGATCCAAAAGCTTCTTTCATCTTGTATAAATAATCACAGGTAAGGGGAAGAGCAAACCCATCCAAGAAAAGGTGTAAAATACGTCCTTTCCAAGAACTCTTTGTACGCATCATATTGCTTTCAGCCTCCTCTTCTAGAAAACAAGAGAGTAAGAACCTTTATGGACAAGAATGCTAATTATCATCATTACCCAAAGTAACAAATCTTTCATGACTTGGGCCAAAGTTGTCAGATAATGAAGACTAAAATTCTATGTTTCATTTTAGTACAAATTACTTTCCTGTCCCCTTTGACAAATGCCTCAATTTTGATCTTAGAGTTGCTTTTAGAATGAACATGTAATTATCTAGTCTTGTTTACAGCAACAAGGGTCAGGTTCTTTACCAGATATTAATAACTACTGTGCTAAGAGCATTCTTCTAGCTCATCCCGCATGCTGAGCTTTGCCCTGATTTTAACCTTGTGAAATTTTCATGGTGCCCAGTCTGTCTCCTACCAACTTTTTATGACTGCATATTCATGGTGATAATCATTCTCAAACAAGCTTCCTTTTATTAAACCAAATCATTATGCATTAGAAAGACATCACCTTGCTCTGCTAGGGTTAAGAGGGTCTATCAGAATAATATTGAAAAAATGTGTTAGATTTATTGGGCCTCCCAAGGTTTGACAACCCTGAAAGGGCAAGGCAAAGGGGTCACAGTGCTTCAAGAAGATTATGGCATTGGTGACAGTGTCACTTCCGAGGCCAGAAGTGAATAAAATGGAAAATTGACTTCATTCTGAAAAGAAAGCACAGTCTAAGCACCCAAATAATTTCCCCTCAACTACCTGTCTATTTTAGATACAAAATAGGGTGAGTTTTTACTTCAACGTGGTCTCCACCTCAATATTTACAAACCTGCCATCTTAGCTAACATTTATCATGTCATATTCTAGACAGTGTTCAATGTATTAATAATGTAATGTTTCTTCCAATCTTAGGAGGTAGCTACTACTGTTGTCCCCATTTAAAAAATAGACAACTGAGGCACTGAGTGTTCAACAATTCCCCAGGACAGACAGCTGCCATATGGTGGAAAGGGATTTGAATCCAGGCAGTCTGGATCTAGATGCTAAGGGCTTAACTGCTATTTGTGTCCAATTTTCCAACCCAATCTATTGCCAATGTCTAAACCAAGGGATTATTAACAAGGAGAAATTTGTAGTCAAGTTTTACTTCCTTTTGAGCTCAGCTTCCCTATATAGGAACATAGGTTTTAACTGGTCCAGTGTCCCAGAGCCAGAATCTGTATAGTGGCAAATCTAAGATTTCTGTTCTGACCCCACCTTTGAAGAGGCAAAGTTAATTCTCCAAGGAAAGGGGAATGAAAGTTGTTATTAGCTGTTTATCTCACAATAGCCCTATGTGATAGAATTTACCATAGAAATTCCTCTTTTTTCACATAGCAACTCCAAAAATGTAAATTAAATTACCTAAAACCAGATAGTTAGGAAGACACAAAAGAGAGGGAGAAGCTCACTTCACTTTATTATTTTCCCTAAGGCAGTAGTGCCTAAAATGTTCTCATGAGTATTATATGAAACAAGAACCAAAAAAAAAAAAAAATGGAAGGAATGAGAGAGGCAGGTGGGAATTTACTTTCAAAAATACTTGAGAAATATTTAACCAAAATTTTGAAAATTTTATAATTACAGGACTTCTCAGAGCTTTTAATATATTAATAATGTACATTATAAGGATGCAATATAAAGAATTTATTTCATTCCAAATTTGCTTTGTTGTTGTTGTTGTTGTTGTTGTTATTGCAAGACATCTCAATCTCATGGAACAATATTCTATAAATATGTATTTTGAGAAATGCTACTCTGTAAACTTGAAGAACTTTAGACAAAATACATGGTCCAGAAAATGCTTCTATTTAATAATAGTCTTTAGGACAAGAGTATACAGAATGGGAGACTCAACTTAATTGACTTCACAGTTTCATTGTAAGGATTGGGTCAGAACCACAAAAAACATACAGAGCAAGGGTTGTCTGAAGCAAAGGCAGCTTTAGGACAGACAGATTTTTAAACTTTACTTAATTTGTACTTAACATTGTGAACTTGACATTTCTTTCTCACTCTTATTAATTATTTGCATATATGTATGTGTGGGGGACTTTAGACACAAATATTCAAATACATTTTTGACTATTCAATGACATAAATTGTGTCCTATGTTATTTTCTGGTATGTGTTTACCACATTGCTTCTCTGTCCAGAGTAAACATTTTGTGTGTGTGTGTGTGTGTGTGTGTGTGTGTGTGTGTAATTTATATATAAAACTATATATACAATTTCAGCAAGGCATTTAGTTTTTAAATAAATGAATCCACAGAATAATAAAACTGCAGCAATTTACTATCTTTTGCATTTTTGTGAGTAAATAAGATGATACATGTAAATGTTTTTGCCATTATTATTATTTATACCATAAGTATGCTAATGTGCATCCAAGTTATTTCAAATTTAAGATTATAGGGAGTTTCTATCACCAATCATAATTCAGGAGCACCCATTAAAGTTCCCTGAGAACTCTCTGGCCACCAAGCCCTGTTGAAACTCTCCACAACATGGAATGGGTCTGATACTTGCACGTGACTTCTCCATATCAGTTGGGAACCCTAAACCAGTCTAGATCCACATTTAGCTCATCACTAGACTTCTTGATCTGTTTTTTCCCTTCATTCACTGCTTTGTTCTTCTTATGGGCACGTCTGGTCTTCCCATTTTGATTCCAAGCTCCTCTGAATACAAAGAACATGAAATATTATCTTGGTATCTCTCTTTTCTAGTTATTTATTGCTGTGTAACAACTTGAGCCCCAATTTAGAGGTTTAAAACAGCAGTCATTTCATTCACCATAGTTTCTGTAATTTGGGGAGAGCTTGGTGGAGAAACTCTTAGGGTCTGGCCTGTGGCTGCAGTCAGATGGGGGCTGGAGCTAGGACTGTGGGGGTGAGAACTGGAGCAGCTGAGGACTACTGAAATCTACCAATATTCATGGAGTCCCAGGACTTCTTTTGTACTCTCCCCACAGGGCTAATTTGGGCTGCATCTCAGCAGGGCAGCCTTAGTGCCACAAAACTGATTGATCCAATGGCAGCTAAAAATTGCAAGAGAGAAATAGAGAAACAAGGTATACCCTATCATGGCCTAGCCTCAGAAGCTTCAGTGCACTACTTCTACCCAACTCTGTTGATCACTAGAGTCACAAAAGTGACCCAATTTCAAGAGGGAGGGAATACAGACCATTCTTCTCAGTCGTAAT